AGGAAAAATTTCACTTTCCCAGGGTCACAAAGTTAGTAAATGGTTGAACCACTTTAATCCAGGTTCATTAATATATTCCTTCATTAAAGATTCCTTGAGTGCCTATGAGACACTGAACCAGGGTCTGTAGAAGTGGCATAACACAGTCACTGTCTTCAGGGGGCTTATAGTCTAGATCTGTGCTATCTAATGCAGCATCCACTTTGTTCTGGTTGGAACTGGGATGTGCTCTAAGTGCAAAGTATACACTGGATTTCAGAGAGTTCCTATGAAAAAGTAAAATATCAATTTTTATATTGATTATATTTTGAAATAACACTTGGATATATTGGGTTAAATCTATTATCAAAATTAATTTCACTTAGTTTTACTCTTTTTAAAATGGTTTAAAGAAATTTAAAGTGACATTTGACTTATAGATTCTGATTGAGTAGATCTGGGCCCAAGAGTCTACATTTCTAATAAGCTCCAGGCTCACACTCTGAGTAGCCAGGCTCTAGACTAGCTAGATAAGGAAACACACAAATAATAACATGGTATCACTTGTACGATAATTGCTATGATTTGGCAAGAAAGGTGCTTAGAGGCGTTGTTGCTGTTTTTTGCTCTGCAAAATGACCTATGTTCTGTTAAACCATCTTTGCACAATTTCTATTCCTTTCATTGCTGCTTTATAAAAGATTAGCATGCTGTGTTTAACTACATAAATATATATTTCTTTGAATCATGAGCTTTTGCCTTTACTTAAATGATAATATACTAGAGAGATGTATCTATTCTATACACAGATGAATAAGGAACATACAGCATCATAAAGATGACATTAAATAAATATATTATTTGCCATAATGAGAAAATACTCAAAATAGGTCACTGAAGTAGATTCTCCCAATTGTGAACAATACTTTTTAATTATAAGTCAAGATAGGAAGTATTTTCTAGACGTTGTACAGCCTAAACCACAGAAATAACACTTTTTTCAGGTAAGTGACCTATGATGTTAGAGACTTAGTTTTGAAGGTAGAGGTGGGGATAGGGAACAGGAAAAAATTCATAGAGGAAGTGATTAAGGCGAGACCATCTTGTGTAGGAGTTAGGTCTGTGTGATTCTAGTACTCATGCTTTTACTTTTACTTTGGATCAAGTTTTTGTTTTGTTTCATTTTGGTGTTTGTTTTGTTTTGTTTGCTACAATATTTTATCTGACCAGAAACTAATGTCAGTTGATGAGAAACAATGTCAAATTTGTTAATGAGGTTTCTGTTAAGGAATCTATCATGAAATACTACGTTAGTTTATTGGGGTTTCCCCCCCCATTTAAAAAAAATTGAAGTATAGTCAGTTTATAATGTGTCAATTTCTGGTGTACATGTTTCAGGCATACGTGTACATACATATATTCCTTTTCACTTAGGTTACTATGGGATATTGAATATTGTCTGTGCTGTTAAACTTGTTGTTTATCTATCCTACGTATAGTAGTTAGTATTCACAAATCTCGAACTCCCAATTTATCCCTTCCCATCCCCTTCCCTACCCAGTAACCATAAGTTTATTATCTATGTCTGTAAGTCCGTTTCTGTTTTGTAAAAAAGTTCATTTGTGTCCTTTTTTTCCCCTACAGATTCCACATATCAATGATAGCATATGGTATTTTTCTTTCTGTTTCTGGTTTACTTCACTTAGAATGACGATCTTCAGGTCCATCCATGTTGCTGCAAATGGCATTATTTTATTCTTTTTATGGCTGAGTAGTAGTCCATTGTAGAAATATGTTACAACTTCTGTATCCAGTCCTCTGTCAATGGACATTTAGA